GACATGTTCCACGTTAGGCCTAGAGGACTGCCCACAGCTCTGGCCAGTTAATCTCAGAAATATAAAAAAGCAATATAAATGATTGAAACAGGACTGCCTACATATTAGCACGAGCACACAGCTTACCTAGACTATCTAGTGCCCCATCAAATTCAGCAACAGGACTCCCAGGACATGTGCAGTCAGACATGCCAGAGAGATACCCCTTAACTGATTCAAAGACCGTTTCCCACACCTCTTGAGTTTTCCATCGTTTCTTTTGTCACCATAGCAAAGATGGTTGTCAACGATAGGCACCAAGGATCCCAAATGAGGCCACTATCTGACACAGATTGTCTAAATCTTACTTGTATTAGCTTGGCAACTAGGAATACTCTAATACTGAACTTTCCCTTGGGGAACAGTGATGATTCTGATATTTGCACTTCAGTTCCCAAATATGTTACCATTAGTGAATAGGGTGGGATTTTTTTTATCACTGTCAGCATAAATGTGTTGGAGCTCTCCCACCACCTGAAAAAATGCCCCAGTAAGCAGGTTTGTGCACCATACCACAGTATAACAAACGTGCAGGGGCAGGATAATTTCTTCATAAGCCACCCTCTCCAGGATCTTGCTAAATGTTTCAAAACTGAACACAGTACAGAGCAGCTCACAAAAATGGCTTTAATGAAATAGGAGTAACCACTTCACAAATTCAATATGGAATTTGAAATGAACTGAAAAATTCATTGAAATGAAATTGAAAAATTCATTGAAATTGAAATGAAGACTTCATATTGTGGTTTTCTAACCTTTTACGAGACAAGCTAAATTTAAAGATAGAGGACTGAGGTTAGCATGGATAATTATCAAAAGATCCAGCTACTCTTTCAGCTTCATGTCCACATCAATAGTTTTCTGAAATTATTGGTTTATATCATAGAATGGATTTCAATTTCTCTGCACAAAGAAAACTATTGTTTCAGAGCTTAAAACTGACTAGAAATCTATTCCATAACTAAGCCCTGACTGTCTTGCTAAGACACACTGATGGCCAAGTCCTATACACCAACTGGAAATAAGCCCCCCGCCCCCTCCCTTATTTTTTTTTTGTTAGTGCCATTTCATCACATCGCATTGTGTGATGCACTGTGCCTTTGATGACCATCGCCCTCTGACATACTGGACTTCTCCTTTGCCCTCACAGCAGGCAAGGGCACCACACTGTTTTCCACATTTCCTACATGAATACTAGAAGAAAAACAGTCTCCTCCCTTAATGCAAAACGGACAGTAGTTAAATATGAGATCTTGAAGGATGCAGTTTTGGCACCGTCACCAAGCTGTTTACGCAAACACTTCCCAGTGGCATGCATTCCAGGCACACAGCCTCATCTTTCTCAATCACAGTAATTTTAACTACCCTGCTGCTCTAGGCTCATTATAATGCAAACATTCCCATTCCCCAAACGTAGAAGGTACCTGCAAATATTTCAAAAGGTAGACACTTCACTTATGGCTCCTTCACAAGTTACTTATAGGTAAGAGTAGCTGTAGTCCAGTTTGCCAAGATGTAAAAAAACTATACTCTGCACTGGGAAATGCAGTATGCCTAATTTAACTACCTGTTTATTACGTGAAAATGACCATGTAAACTGAGCTGACACAGACCAAATGGGTGATGAAAATAACAGCACACTTCAAGGAGTGGAAACACAGATGGTTCACTCAAAGTCTGCAGGAAGTTACTAATCATCACTCTGCAATACCCTCTACAGACAGATCTGTGAGCTCTGCAGCTAGAACAGCAACTCCTCGAGAGCTACCCATCTACCCAACAGTAAGCTTGAGGGCAAACGCCTTTACTTTGACTTCACACATCACCAAATCGGAAGCAAAACTGAAAAATGCAAAGGATGACGAATCATGCTGCAGTCGCTGATGTGGAGTTTGTTGCCAAAGTGAGTTTATCTGAAGAAGAAAACTGGGATTGCAAGTCAGACACATTAGAAAATGTGGAAGTCACGTGAGCATGAGGAGTCTGAAATTTTCAAGATAAAGTATGTTGGCAGATTAATATAACCATCTCTGTATCTGTGCTGCGTGAAAAGGGACAAGAGGAGACACAGGCATTCTCCAGGAGTAGATCAGAAGACATCCCTAGGAGGAAATGTCTCTGGCAAATTATAGTGCAGTATAACTGAAGCAGCCACCAAGATGCAAAGACTCTTTCCTGCCTCCATTTCACCATCAGTCCTACTGGAAAGAGCGGATGTATCCCTGGATCTCACCCTCGTATGCTGCAAGCGCGCCCCAGTCTCCCTCACAGCCCTTGTCCGGCTCCTCTCCTACTGCTGCCGGAGGTACAGCAGGAGAGCACAGAGCACTCCAAGCAAAAAGCATTCGCCAAGGTGGCCGGCCTGCTGAGCAGGAGGAAGTCAGTGACAGGAAACCAATTCTCTTAAGATACAAATTCTGTGGCCAGAACTGTCTGAACCACACAGCAAATTATTTGCAAGTTTCAGATAATAAATAACCAAATTAAAACTCAGCCAGAAGACAATGGGTTAACATCCCTGTAACTTTTATTCCAGTCTATTGTCCTCCGCACACGAGTCTGGTAGGAAAATCTCTATTCTGTGAGAAGTGTTAAAATGTGTTTTCTTCCTAGTTCAGTCAAAAGAAAAGAATCCAATTGCAATGGTGTTGAAGGCAACCAGAGTAAAGCAGTCAGTAATTAAGTGTAAATAGATATAAATAAAGCTAACGGAGGCTTCAAATCCCAGGTGTTCCATCAAGTTTACAACGGCTCAAATCCCCACTGAGTTTACAAGTGGCTCTTTTGGCACTCAGTGCCTCACTCAGCGATTCCCCTATCTTTCTTTATCTTGTTCTTCCTTTATGAACACGAAAAGACAACTCAAAAAATTCGATAGCTCTGATTCTTGCATGACAAAGATAGACCGGCCATACAAGTGTAGCACCTGCACCCCAGGACCGGCAGCTGGGCTCTCTTATCACCAGGAACTGGCAGGTAGTCCAGGCAGTCCAAGTCGCCAGCCAGGAGAAGCCTCTGAGGAAAACTTCATCGGCTCGCTGTGACCATGCTGCATTCACACATCAGCTTACTCCCGTGGGATGCTCTGGAAACTGCTTTTTCTCCTACCTACAAGCTACTTCCAAAACTCCCTTTCAGGGGTTTGCGGCACATTGTTTGTGACTTTTGGCACTTAGTCACACATAGGTTTGCATACACAGCCACAAGGTCAGAAAGGTTGGCAACCCTGTGCCTCAGCTGAAAGAGAAACCCCCTGGGTCCAATCTTCTTACACACTCCTCCACTAGTTAAATAAAGTGGCATGCATCCCAGGCATCATTTCAGATTCTAAACTTAAAACAGTCTAGAAATTCAATTTAAAAAATTCCCCCAATTTTTACTCAATTTCAGTTAGCATCTCAGAGACACACTATGAATCTACTGTACTACTTTACTAGGCATACCCAGCACACCGAGACCTAAAATATTTCTTTATTTAAACCAATACAGTATACTGCTTAATTTTAGGTCTTACTTGCAAACATAGGGTGGAAAAGTAATACGGAATACTCTGAACTTCTGACAAGAAATTATCAATAAAAGGTGGCTCTTGTGTTTTCCTGTCTATTGGTAATAATACAAACAACATCAAATACATGAAATTTTGGGCAAAGAACACAACAAAACTACTAAAAAAATCCTCATTTATAAACTCTTCGTAAGAGTAAATACACAGTTCTCGATCCTTGCTACATATACGAATATTATATTAAGTTGGACTAACTCAACTGTGGAGGCTGGCTTTAGCAAAATGCTTTCAAACTTAACTTCTTCAGTTAAGGTTACTGTTACTATTGCTTAAGAATGTTCATTCCCACTTCTACACTGATAAAGGTTATTGTTTCACTGTGAAATCCTTATAACACTTAACAACACTTCCAGGTGTAGCAGGAGAAATTACGGATCTCATCTTACATTTCTCAACACTGAGACCAGTGAAGCATTGCCACAGCGCAACAGATTCTGCAAGCAGAATGATCTGCACGATCAAAACCTAAGTCACTACACTCCTGCCAATTACCTTTTTTAATTCTTCTTTTTCTGTAACGCGCTCTACAACTTAATATCCTGCTCAACACTTTACTTAGTTTGGTTATTATGGCAATACGATGTATCTAAACTGGACGTTGACAGTAACTCTTAAACTGCAAAGCCTGTTGGATATTTAAGTAACTAGTTTTATGCACATATAGTCTGTTAATACAGCTGCAACCTTTCGATTTCATTACCAAAATAAACTTATATGTCTAGCACACGTCAGTTAACAAAAAATGAAAACACTCATCAAGATAGCACAAGAGTTCATTTAAATTCTATTAATAAATTAATAAATGGAAATAAAATACTACACATTATGCGCAGCATGTTGTTTAAAAATTCAGCTATTTTCATGCTAGTTTTTAATATTATGATATTGAATGCAGATTATTAAAGTAGAACCCACTGTGGCAACACAGACTTATCTGCTTTTCAAGTGTTTCTTCTCTAATTCGTACAACCAGTTTTCTGTCTTCCCAGCATACATTAATGATGTTACAATACAATACGTATTAGCCACGCTGTTCATATCCCATGAGAACTAAAATACACAGGCATTTGAAAAGAAGAAATGCATGCTACAGGGCTCTCTCAGACAATAGTTCATTCTCCCAGTTTTTTTTTCTTATACTAAAATAACACATTTAATGGAATTTCCTGTAAGGAAATTACAATTAATAAAGAACTAAATTACAAATCCATTAGATTTCAGTCACTGCAGCAACAAAACAGACTTTTCATGAACACTCAAAAAATCCAATAATGTAACCTCTGGTAAAGCTTGAAAAAGCCCTGAAGGACAAGGCAGTTAGATCAATATTAGTTTATTTTAACTGCTGTGCAGTATGAAGAGATGAGGCTGATCATCTGATGGATTTTATTACCTGTCGGAGAGATAAGTCCTGGTGATAAGAGGCCTGGAACTCCATGGGGCAGAAGACGTGCATTTTCTTGTATCGCAACTCCTAGAGAACGCTTGGGGGGTCTTCCTGGTCGTGAGCTGATGAAATAAGAGGATAAATGAAAATGCATTTTCTTTTTGAAATATTTGCTTACTACACAGTGGTATTGATTTGTATAAAATATCTGAATCATCAGTGATACACAAAACTGCGTTATAAATTCTTGCCTAGGACAAAAGAAAAATATGTAGTTGGTTAAACATGTAAGAACTGTACGGGTCTGAAACGAACTAACAACGAACTAGAGTAGCGCACAATCACGAGCTTAAAGTCATACAGTGACTTTAGTGAGCATAAAGTGACAAAAAAGTTTAATTTTTACCTGCATCACTAGACCAAGAAGAAAGAAATTCAGATTTCTAGCATTTATTGTACTACTGCTTTGCTAATTAATTGCTGTTTCTTAATATTCCTGACTGTAAAATGGAGATCAAGAGGTTCAAAAGCACTTGAAAATGCAAGTGGATGCATTACTCAGCTCACAAACTGAGAACTTGAGAACCTGTGAACTAGTGATGCAATGACTATAAGGACACCAGAGCTACTCAGATCAGGTCCATCAGAATTCATTAGCTTAGACACAGTACTGGATGAGTATAGCATGCTGCCCCTAGGAACTGTTACAAATCAGCTCAGGGCTCACTGGGCTTCTCACCTCTGGCTGACCAGGCTGGGAGCAGGGGGAGGCCCACCTATATGCTTCCATACAGTCAATGCACTGTTTAAGCTTTTCCATTCTTCAGGGTATCCAAGTTCCTAATCCGGATACCGGACAGCGGCTGCAGCGATAACTGCTCCTAAGTCTGTGCCACATACCTGGACCACATATGATTGCAAGTTGCGCTGTCTAAACAGGAGAAGTTGAAAACTTTGAACGCAACACAATCTTTATGATATTAATCATCACCTTCTGAATCGTGGCAGATAGCCGCCTACTTCTGAAGCTGCAACAGTAATTTAACACTCAGCTCTTTCAAAGCCGACTACTTGTCTTTACATATTGACTGCGGTTTTTAACTGCTACAAATAGGTTAAACCAAGAATGTTAGCCTAATCTATCGAAATCTCCCCATCCCTTGACCAGCCTATGAATTACGATTGCAAATTTTAATTCAAAGTGTTACAGGTCTCTATATTCATCTGTTCCATTTATCTGTTGTTTCAGCTATCACATTTATCCCTCACTATAGTCTGTGTATATCTAATCATCCTATTTAGCTGTCACCATAATACAGAGATTTAAAGAGCAAAAAATCATTTGGATCAACTCTCCCCCAAGCCCACTAATAAAAATACAACTTCCCTATGTTTGGAAAAGTATTGCTGCACATTTTACTCTGCTGAGTAACAGAGCTTTTGACAAAACACAGTGAAACACTGTATTAAAAAACAAACCTGCAACAATGAATGAGGTTTAAATAGAAAGTAGTTCCAAAACTGACTTCAAGTTCACAAAGAAATTTAAGTTAAACCTCACTCCATCAACTTAACAGTGGCAAAGCCCTCCATCAACACGAGGCAAACTCTGCGTTTAAATGAAGACAACTTCCAGCAACACCGCACAGAGGTACCATTAACCTGTTCATTTTTCACACAGTGTGCTAGTATTATTTTGTTTTACTGTACATCAAAGTAAGTATCAAAGTAGCATAAAATCTTTTTCTTTGCTTTATTATTCTACGCCTATAAAATATTCCTTCCTCTTTTTAGCTTTGGGGTTATCCATTTTGTATTTCATTTTATTTGCTACTTTTTCCATTTTTCTTTTTTATGTTTTGTTTACTGTACTATGACGGCTAGGTAGTAAAGTCTACTAGAAAAGCCCAGACTTACTGGGCTATAATAAAATGAACCTAAAATAAGAGTATAGAAGTTTCACAGAAAGTTAGATGTACATACGCATCCTCTATTAAAATTACCTCCAAATAAGATGTCTACAAAAACCTTTCCGTTTATTTCACAGCATCGCTGTCTACCAGATAGTATTAGGCTTTGTAAGCGGAGTTTTTAAATAAAAATCAATTGTTATTCTTTTGACTTACAGAAGTCTGTGCACACACAGTTATAAGCACTTACTTGGCACTTACTGTCCTTGGCAAAAATTACAAAAGTAAACCAGCTAAAATTAGCAGGTTTATCCAGCAGCAGAGCTCAGTCAACAGAACTATGAAACATTTGCTTCTCCATCTCAAACACTAAAGACCTGTTACATAAAGCTGTATGTTAACATTAAGCTAAGAAACATCTTCCTAAATTGAACAGTTTTAAGAGATTTTGTAGAGAGGCATTTTATTTATGATGTAGATTTTCAGAGGGAGGGAGACAACGGGGTTTCATTCCTGTTCTTGTCATCCTCTCCCCCGTAACAGGCATTAACTCTGAAAGAGGAAAACGAGCAACCAGGACAATATGATCTGAATGTTGATCATTTATTTATTTTGTTTGGAATGAACTTTGTCAGAGATTAAATTACATTTTAAACAGTAGGCTTGACAGTTAAAATTTATACAGTAAAATGTTGAGAAATTGTTCATTAGTGTCTGCTTCTTCCTTTATTTTCCACTCCTGGTGAGAGCTAATTTTATTATTTTTCCTCTCAAAGGTTTATATAATCCCTTGACTTCCCAAGCATTTTTAATTTGAATCAAAAATATAAAGTAAGGCTTGTTTTGTGATTTTGTGAAAATTACTGATCAGCTCCGTCTTTAGCAACTCTACATTATGCTTATTATAAATGTATTTTATAAAATATTTTATAAAATCTACAAATGCATCAACACTTCATAAAATATAATTAATCAGTGGAAACTTACAGCACATCACTGCTGATATATGATAGTGCTGTACTTTTGTGTTTTTAAATGTAAGAAATTTACTAGAATCAGAAGTGAATTTGCATATTAATCAAGACAAATAAACATGTGGTGATTTAACTAGGAAACTGTTATTTGGATGACAATTTAATCAGCACAGGTTGAAAGGTCCACCACTGCAGCATCCTGTTTCTGCTAAAATATTGATTGCATTACTGATTTCAGTAATGCTTTATTTTACAGGGCACAAATAACCACGTAATTACTCTTTAATTGAATGGTAATTGCTTGCTGGCAATTATTTGTTAAGTTCTGGAGTTTAGTTACCAGGTTATTTGTGTTTTGTGAAATAAAAACACACATACGTATTAGTAGCCCAAAATATTTTCTGTATGAATGGTCTGTCAAAACTAGAAAAGTAAGTTATGATGGCATGAGCTTGACAAATAACACTGTAACACTAAAACCATTATTACAAGGATCGGATGAATCTTTGAATGCTTTTGCTTTAGAAAATTAACATTAAACGTAACATTTGTAAGATAAATGGGGGAATACTGTAGCACAGAAGCATGATTTCCTCTGGGGTCTAGTCCACCATTTAGCATAATTTATCCTGATGTTTTGCTTTTCATTCTCTGGGCTTTCTTAGAGGAACTGAAATAGTATCCTACCCTCTTGAGAGCAAAGAATAAACCAACTAGAAATATATTTCAACAGTACTTCATATTTCTGCAACTGAAGTGGATTACCACCAGCACATTATCTTAGCAGCCTATAAACTTCATAGGCTTGGCAGTTAGCTAGATAACAAGGGAAAGCATTATGTCTTGCAGTGTCAATGAGATATGACACATTCTGTGATATATTTATTCCAAGTTGTGATAGATGAAGTACTCAATACTTTGATCGTGAAGATTTTGAATTTTACTGTTACACTTTTCATTTTTGTCATCAACTATTTATGAATTGGCAGTGGACAGCATAGCAAGGACTGCTGATTTTGTTTTTTCAAAAGATATCCAGTTAATAAATTAATTATTGATTCCAAGAACCTTGAGCTATTTGGTATAAAAATATGCTAGACTTGTGATTTAGGAAGCTCTCAAATGTATCACAGATTTCTTCAATAGCAACATGTTTTATTAGGCTTAAAGGAGAAATACAGAGGTACCATAGGACACGCTGTGCAAACTGCTCTGATAATAGTGGCAGTAACTGGTGCAAGTACTTACAAATAAAAAAAACTTTATTCACTTTGCTGAAATTGGAACAGTAACCACATATTAAAATTTTGTGTTCTTCAAAGATCACCGCCATGACGGATTTCTTACATGAAATACATGCTAATGATTGTGAAAGGTATTGTTTGAAGTCCTTACCAATAAACATAACATTTTTGATAATTTGAGTTACAATTATTTACTTCTATTACTACAAGATTTTTTCTTAATCATAGCATGAATTAAAAGCATTATCCTTGCTTTGGCATTTATTATAACATTTCAAAGATGCCAGTGGTAGTTAAACTCTACTTGACCTTTCAGTGTTTAAGAAGAGAAACAAACTCTGACCTCCCAGCAACCTGATTCTGTCTCCTCTCCGTGTTGGCAAACTGATCGCTTGTCTAACCATTGCAGGACGTTGTATCACCAGCCAGATCAAAGGCAACAAGAGCCAATTCAGCAGTAGGAAAAAAGTTATCCATGCAAAATGGGCAATTAACATTAATCATACATGAAGCTGTTTAAGCTGATAACTAGGAACCCGGTCCCTATGGCAACTCTCATAAAAATGAGTACCCAAGCTGGCACTAAAAAAGTCGCAGGTAATACTCCGCAGAGGTCAAACCACTCTGTTCTGACTTCATCGGACCAAAGCATGTTATGGGAAAAAACTCTTATGCTCCAAAACAAGACCCTCCCACTCTGTTCTGTGGGGCTGTTGAGTGAGGAAGGTCCTCAACATCAAGCCACAGTGGAGAGAAGTCAGCGGAAACATATTCCCAGAGCATCACAAATCTGAACTTTTTCTCCATCAGTGTGAATTGATATTACTGTTAGAAAAAAGATTCCTTAATACCTTTGAATTGTTCAGAGATGGGACTGAAGTGGAAGATCACATCTTTGTTAACCTTACCATTAAAGATGGAAAGTAGCACATTACCATTGTGTATTTCCTAAAAAGCATGGATTAATGGAAGTCCAGTGTAGATCTGAATAATATCATATATAATTCATTTATCAAGAACTAGGTCAGCTAGCTCAGAAACATCCCATGCTGACACAAGCCACATACGCAACAATGACAGCAATGAAACAATAACCTCCCCCCTCTTTTAATGTTCTCTTTTAACACACAGAGTCTTCGCGTATCCCAACTCTCCTCTCTCAGACAGTTTCCCATATGGAGACACCTAAATTACATCCAACTCCAAATTCTAGCTTGGTAAAATGGGCTGCCTCAGGGTAGATCTATGGTGTCTTCCCTAGTATTCCCAATCTGGAGGACCCTCTTCCAGGTCAGAAGCACGTTAATGTCTGTGATCTCAGGGCCATTCTGCATCTACCAGTACAGTGCACAGTGAGACAGAGGAGGCAGAACTCTGGTGATTCACCAAACCTTGTCACCAAGGTCCACATACTCTCTCAAAGTTATCGCAATGAGTGAGTTGTGGTCCTTATGAGGATGAAGAACTGCTGCTACACAGCTACCCACAGCTACCCTAATCCTCAGTCTCTGTATCCATCCTGCTCCCATCCCACACCAGTCCATTCCCCTCAGTCCTTCTTCCCCACCTTTGACCACTGTCCATCTTTCTGAATATTTCTGAACTTCTGCCCTTAACCCATCCATCACATCAAATTTGTCTTTTAGTCCCCAGCTCCCTTTATTTGCTTTCCTCCCTTCCTCTCTCACCTTTTCCTCGCCTAGTTCTCAATTACCTTCTGGTCCTCGTGTCATCTCTACACCGTCTCAGGAGCTCCCCATCCCAGCTGGGAGCAGCTCCCATACAAACTCCTAATACTACTTTGATACTCAATAAGGAGAAGAAGAGATGCCCAAGAACGTGAGCTGATGCAGGTGGGGAATAAAGCTACCCTGTCAAACGCTGTCCGCTCCCTCCTTCACACCCCTTTCTCATGGGAACAGTGTGGGGCGGCTGATAGGATGATTAAAGATGTTCTCTGAGCAACTCCAGTTGGCTGCTTCTGTCCCAGGAGGCAAGAGAGATAGGCAGGCAACTGATTACAGGGTGTTCATCACAGCACCAACAGGGGCTAAAACTCCCCAGAAGACTGAATCTTCTGGAATTATTGCCATGATCACCTTTAACAATAGCCAAAATCCTGTGACTCATACAGAAGCCTGAGAATACAACACAGCAAAAAAAAAAAAACAACAAATCATCACATATTCAGCTGGATATAATTTTTTGCAGAATAAATCAGTTTAACAGTCATTCTAATGTTTTATATTAACGTATGTTCTTCTGACGGAAGCCATCAGACTGTTCAGAATATATGGTAATATCAAAATTCAAGAGCAGCGGCACTTGTATTTGAGGTGTCAGTGTTCCTGGGTTCAGTCACCGAATGATAAAACTGAAAGAGGCCTCAAAAGGTCACCTGCTCTCTCTACCTCTGCCCCAAGGCAGGATCAGGTACACTCAAATCATTCCTGACAAATGTTAGTCTAGCCTACCTCTGAAAACATTCAGTGTTGGAGATTTCACAACACCCCTAGGCAATTTACTCCAATGCTTAGGCTATCCTTACAATCAGGAAAGGTTTGCGTGGAAAAGGAGGGCTGACATCTAACCTAATTCTCCTTTATTTAATTTAAGCAAGGTACTTCTTTTCAGCTACTCAACAGACATGGAAAACAACTTACTTCCCACATTGTAGACACTATCTGTATTTTTGAGAACTTGTCATATTTTGCCTTTGTAGAGTTCTTATACATGTAGATGGAAGTGAAGACTTAGCGCATTTATGCCCATGACCTTCAGATTCACATGCTGCAAACAGCACACATACATAGCTTGTCCAGAAATTATCTCCAGTGTGCTTGAAACTCCTGCCACCTTGGTATTGTCTTCAGGAACAACTGCTGAAGTTCCTGACCCAGACTGAAAATAGCCCCCTGTGGCACCATCCTCAGTACACCCTCCAGTCTAATCTGAACTAATGGTAACTATCTTCTCACTATGGTTTGCAAATTTGTTTGTTTCTAAACTTGCATTTGCATGGGGACCATTTTTTTCTAGCATGCTTAAGAAAAAGTCATGTGAGATTCTATTAAAAAAAAAAAAAGGCGTACTGAATTCAAAAGTCAGTTCTTGTCACTGTGAGTAAAGGATCAAGTGCTGGGTAGAGATAGCAAGTACCACAGCATCCCTGATAGAGAACCCTCCAGTCCTAAAATTATTAATATTACCTATTAAAATGCAGACAATTGCTCTGAATTAGTTAGTACAAGTGAGAGAAAAATGCAATATATCTAATGTCATTTTTAAAGGGAAAGCAGAGAAAAACTCTAACAGGCATTTTGACTCCAAAACTCTAACAGGTATTTTGACTCCTTCAGCATGGCCAGCATGCCTTCTCCAAACTTTCAGTTACTTTACGGGCATAACCAAGGAATGATAGTTGTGTCCAAAAAGGTAAACACATTGTCTTGATTCACAGGAGGCATTATGTGAAGAGAAGCACTTAAAACTGTCAGCTGAAAAGCTGGGAAGGGCACCTGCAGGCTTTTGACTGATAGCTCAGTGCACTTCCTCCACACTAGGCTAGGAATACAAGGTAAGGTACAGCAAGGGAGGGGCATGCTCTCTTCCCCAGATTTCTACACTTATAATGTTCTACAAATTGCACAGGACTTAATGACAATCTTGCAGGTCTTATTACACTTGGCAGATACATATATGGCATGGAAATGAGACATCAAAAAGCAGCAAGACAGCCCCCTGGATAAGAAGCAAGGGAGTCAGGCAAGCCAAGTCCCTTTACCCTCTTCCCTCTACCTTCAAGTGGCCAACAGAAGGTCTTTTGGGGAGCAGAGACATCTTCTAGTCTCTCTGTCTCTTTCTACAATCTCTTTTTTTTTTCCTTTCTTTTTTCCTAGATGCCAGCTATGCCTTATACCTCCCGGCAGCACTGGCAAGCAATCCATGGGCAAGTCAGTCAAAGCGCTCTGCCTGGAGAGGAGGTGGAATGCATTGTGCTTTATTTTCTCTTTTTTAGCCCACAGCAAATTTTTAGTTTCCACATTTTCCACAACTGAGTCCAACTATATCTCCTATTATTAATACCAGTGTTGACATTTTCTTGATAAAGATTCATTAAATTTTTTCTTTGTCAAAGAGAGAAAGATGATGGAACAGACAATTTAAGGGTTGACTACTCACCTGACAGAAAGTATAACTGTGAAGCTATTTTATACTTCATTTACTTGACCTAGTTACAGTACTTCTAACCCCAAACGTTCACAAATCATGACCCTGAAATCATGAGAATGAAAAAAATCTAGCATTTTTAAAGTTCCATTTTACATTCTTTTTATTTGGCTTTTAATTTTGTAATCTTTAAGTTTCTTAAATCACATGTCTAAGCTTTTCTTTACTAGGAAGGGCTAGAAAAGATTAAAGAGGTTTTTTGCTTTTGGTTTGGTTTGGTTTTCTAAGTTTCACAAATGAAAGCTGAGATTCTCTAATGAGATGACATTTAAATTTAGGAGCCTTTCCAAAATAACAAAACAAACAAACAAGCACCAGGAATTATAAGAAGATCAAGAATTATAACAAGTGGCAAAAGTAGAAGTTTCCTGTTACAGTAAAATGTGATTGATAGTTATCACTAGGTGTTATCTTTAGTTCTCATTTCAGCTATTGTATGAGACAGAACTAGTCATTTCTCTGACTACTACATAAAGCGTTCCTTTTATACATTGTAAAAGATTTTTATTTCACTTTTGAAAATAAATACGGGTCTCATCCATTAAAACTTCCTCAATATAGCTAACTGGAAAACTACTGAAGCTTTAGAGAGAAACGTAAAGAGATCTAATTTTCAATAAAGTATATTTCTTGGAAAACATCGTTGGTGCTTAACGTATCTCAATGCAGTCTACTCTGCACTACCTCACTTTAAAAATCACAAATTCCAGACCACTTGCTCCTAACCGCGTGAAAACATTATGCGCAATACAAATAAACTTTCTACAGATTTTTTAAATCAGATATATTAAAAAGCCCTGCTAGGGGACTTAGAATGCTAAGACTGTCAAAGAACCAGTGGCAGGTATCATTCCTTGTG